TTGAATTGTAAGTTTTTTATGTAAAGATAAGATTTATTTATTGTTGTTTATAATATTTGATATGTTTGTGTGAGTATAGTGTATGTGGTAATGGTATTTTTTGAGTGTGAGGATGCTTATGTGGTGTGGGGTGGATGTGCTTAGGTTGAGAGGGGGTGGGGGGGTAGAGGCGAGTTTGGTTGATGTGGGCAATCCGGGGGTTTTTGTGAGGGTGGAGGATTTGGGGGTTGAGGGGTGGGAGGGGTTGACGCCGGGGAGGGTGGAGGGGGATGAGGATTTGAAGGGGAAGCTGGAGGAGATTAGGCAGGCGGGGGCGGAGATGATGGGGTTGGATCCGAGGGTTGAGAGTGTGCCGAAGGTGGTGATGGTTTTTCCTCCTGAGGTGACGGCCAGGGAAGGGGGGAAGGGGGCGAATATCAAGTGTTTGGCGCTGTCGATGGGGCAGGCGCACAAGGCGGCTCCGTTGACGCTGACGTTGTGTCTTGGGGCGGCGGCGAGACTGGAGGGGACGATTCCAAATCAGCTTGCGGTAGGGCTGGATGCTGAGAGTGGCGTTGTTACTATTGAGCACCCGAGTGGTAAGCTTGATGTGGGAGTTACGGTTGAGGACGGGAAGATTGTCTCGGCCGAGCTGCACAGGACTGCCCGGGTGCTGATGAAAGGGATGGTCTATTACTAGGATTCTACACGGGCAGCCGTGTCTGGAGACGGCTATGGATTCCTCTGTCTTGATCCCGGCCGCCGCCGCCGCCGGGAAGTGAACAGAGTCCCGAAGATGAATACTAGGCTACGACACTACAAGACTTGGCTTCTGCAAGAAAGATGACGGGTTACATCTGCGATTTACTAGGGTCATACCAAACGCCCTTGCATATCGGAATTCCTTCCCGGGCCGAACGTGAGCCACGGATGACATATAATGGAAGAATGCTTGGAACTTTCTGATCAAGGCTTCAAGGACATATAGTATCTACCGGTGACGACCGGACAAGCTGGTGGAGATGGGAAAATTGCCATGTTCCAGTGTGTCTTTGCTGACCCATTGGCGGTGGCTGACGTGAGATTCCAGCTGCCCGGTAACAGCGCACTTTCGGAGGCTTCGACAACTCCACCATCGCCGAATCTTGGCCTCGCGCATCCTCAGACAAGCCAGCCATGGAAAGCTATTGGCTATTTACCGGATTCTGAATGGATTCAACATACTAGAATATGACAACGGGCATTTATGCGCCGTACCACAACTTCGTCCCAACGATCTACCCGTTGGTTCCCGCTGATGCCCGGCCGGGGATGATGGAAATAACCTTTTTTTCCCCCCTCTTCTATGTCATATTGTCAAGGATCTCGCTTGCCAGTTATGGAAATCGTCAGACGTCGCCGAGGGGGGCACTATTGCAAGTCCAGCAGTAGCACGCGCTTGTCTCCGTCAATGTTCCATCCGTGGAACTCATTCCAGCTATTGTAAGCTGGAGCCTGATTGACTAAGCTGCATATCCAGCTATACGGGAATTGCAGAGAGGATCGGTGTCTTGGACGTTCAGAGATGGAGACTCACTCTTGATTTGAGTGACATGCCGAGGAGATAGTTCTTGGCATATGTTTTGACTGAGGTCTTCTCAGTGGCTTTCTGAAGAGAAAGGACGCGATAGTCATCATATATGCGAAACAGATTACTCATACAGCCCTGGTGGACATGCTATTATTTGACCTGTGAGAACTTAGCGCATTTTGTTTTATAGGGCTTCCAGCGGAGCTCAAAGGGGCAACTCGTGGAGAAGAGCACAGGATGATTTGCCTCAGGAAATGGAACGAACTTCCTATATGCTTGGATCGGCTTCCGTATGCGGTAGTGTTTCCAAGACGAGGTTAGCTCCGATGGTGATCACAGAGCGCCACGGTATGCTTTCCATTGCCTTTCTACCTCACCTTACAGCGACATACCTACTGCAGTATATACATGCAGCATTGATCTATCTGTCAGTTCCTGCAGCCTCGTGAGGTGTCGTAGCGGTGGGGCCTAACAAGATGCTTCTCGGGCAGCGGTCTTAATAGGGCATGGTGGTTTCGGTCAGTTCCATCTTCCATCATGTCCAGCGGCCGCCATAGAAGCCCGCGCAGCAGCATGTCGCATAGGCAATTCCACAACTTGCATGTCATTGTTTAGCTCCATCTATAGTAACATAGCAGAGCAGGCAGACAGAAAACAGGGACATGGGCAAGGCCATGGTCAAGGAACAGGCGAAGCACGATATGCTTATAAACTTTATCTTGCAGCCGGTTCCCTGCTCCTTGGAACTTGTGGGCGTCTAGCATTCCATTGTTATATCGACGATTTGTTTTCTTTCGAACCAACCCCTTTTCGTCGTCCAACTGCAAGAGTGGCCCACCCATCTCGCCCTCTAGCCAAGACCAGAATCTGAGAACTCACACGCCGCCGACCAGAGAACATGGACCACTTCAATGCGACTGTCAAGGATGGGAAACTGGTTAATACTCGTCGCGGACTTCAAGTGTCGAGGCAGAAGTTTAATGGGATATCGTTTGTGAATACCTCAGCCCAGGATTCTTCGTCTTCTGGCACACAGTCGTTTCGCTTGACGAAGGAGTCTCCTTCAAAGTCCACCTCTCTTCTAGAGATCAAATTCGCCGATACAAGAAACGAGTTACAGTCTGCTGGGACAGCTACAAGTGTACAAGAAGGGCAAGGTCGAACGCCAAATTTCAGCTTCGTGTCGGAAACGGGACAACAGCACCAGGCCAAGAAGCAACCACGGCGAAGAGCAACTCCAAAGCCAAAGGGACAGCAAGACCACCGAAGAAACTCGGCCTCACCATATTTGTCTTCTCCCGACTCTCGTCCACCATCCCGGTCATCTGTTGCTACACCACCGCCTCGGTTGGAAGAGACAGCATTGCAGTTCTTTGGCTCTTCTTTTCCAACCTCACAACGGCAGCCTCAACTCCAGCAACAGCCTTTTCTCTCTCCTACAATTCAGGAGTATCATGCCCGCCAGCAGCAGCATCTACAGGTCAATAGCCTTACTGCCATTACCTCTCCACCACCACCGCCGCCTTGGCCGCCAGCCGAATCAGCCACCTACCCCCCACCGTTCTCCCCTTCCCAGTCCGGCTGGGAGCTCTTCCACCACTACAACACTCACCACTTGCCTCTCCAGCTCTACCCCTACGAAGACATTGTTACCTACAATCCCGCACGCTCAGACAATAACGAGAGTTCTATCGGCTTCTCTGATATCGCCGCTTTTCACTGCGTTCTAATGTGTGGGGCAATAGCTGAGGCTGTCCTAAACCGTCAGCACCACTTGGCATCTGAATCCGAGACGGAACCAAGAGGGTTTGCATATCACATATCGAAGATATGCGCCATATTGAACAAGAAGCTAGACGGGAGTGAGGGTGGAGGGGTGGATGCGATAACACTGCATTGTATTGCGATGTTGGCTTGGATGGGGGTCCGTTCATCTACTGTCTCTTTTTTATCATTTGTGAACGAGGCTAACATGGAAACAAATAGTGTTATGTGGGAAGGCTAGATCACTGGGATATGCACATGCGAGGACTCCAGAAAGTGCTCGATGTACTAGGAGGGCTAACAAGCCTGCCAACGTGGGTGGTAAGGAGGATACACACGTAAATCAGCTCCCTATTTTGGCCTTAACCACTCAAACTAACATGAAAATCCAGCGCCGACCTCAAAGGAGCCACAGCCCTCGCCTCAACTCCCTATCTCCCGCTCACCCGCTCTCTAATTCCCTCAGTCACAACCGCTATCCTACCACCAGCCCAACTAGCTCACACTACCCACACGATCAACTCCATCCTCCAACCCCTCGACATCCACCCCTCCGTCATAACAACCCTAATCACCCTGTCACACTTCACCTCAGCAGTCCATCTAGCCCGACAGTCAACTACCAGCTCCATGAGATTCGACCCCTACATCTTTACAGAAGAACTCCAATCCGTCACATATGACCTTCTCACCCTGCCCAACCCACTCAGCAAACACTCGGAAGAAACACCTCTAGACATCACACCAACTCTCGAACAAGCCCTCCGTATATCCTCCCTCCTCCTTCTCAAGGACCTCCTCCCCGACCACCCCCGCAACCTCGGCGGTTACACCACTTTAGTCGGCCTACTTCGACACCATCTCCAGATTATCACTCAGGTTGTTTCACCAGCACACAACCTACTTGTCGATCCACAACTCCGGCAACATCACGGAAGAAAGAAAGAGCTGAGACAGGTACTGACCTGGGTCTGTCTAGTGGGTGATGTAGCAACTCAGAGAGCAAAACAAAATGACTGCCGCTACCGAGAAGCTGGCGACAACACCGTTCTTGAGGAAGATCAAAAGGAGTATTCACGGGAGATATTCCAGAGTGGTTTAGTCTCCGTTTTTGGTCCTGATAATAACACTGAGGATCTCGCCTTGGTCGATCTATTCAAGTTGGGAGATGTTATATGCAAGAAAGGGGATGATCTTGAAGGGGTTGTTTCACTATTTGGATGATAGATGGTTTAGTCGAAAATACAAAGAACCCTGGATTACACAACTGTAGATATAGACATGCCAGGGGAGGGGAAAGACTTAGAGTTTATGGTTGTTTAAGATGAAGGGAATGTACTCGATGGGGAGTGGGTTGAGAGAGAGGGGATTGGACAGAAGGCTGCTGTGTTTGCTGCCTTGCTGGCATCTGCGACCCAGTTCATGGAAGTATTGTTAAAAACAGCAGTTTTCATCCTGCATCAGATGCCCAGGGCAAAGGCAGAATAGAGTTTCGAGCCATCGTGTTACAAGACTAGGTCTTCACTGAGGCGAGTTCTCAGAACCAACTTAGATTATAATGGCTTTTAAGAGCGATTATTATTGTAAAAGTGGACCAGTGGTGTTACTTCTTGTGAGTACAAAGTCTGCAGTTGCAAAGACTTTTTATTTAAAGTTGTAATTACAAAGAGCAAGGTCACAAAAGACTCTGTCAAGTACAACATAAAATAGAGAGGGGTAAAGTAAATAAACAGGGGTGTTTCACTGACAACAAAGTCCTTACTTAATCTCTATCCTCTTTAAGAGAAGAGGAAAGAGCGGAACGAGGTCTTTGGAAGAAAGAGCAAACGAGTCAAGGATCTGCCTTCTGGAAGAGAGACTCAGGTTTGTGTCGCTTCTTCCTTCTCAATCCTAGAGTAACTTGAGAGAATGAAAGAGAGAGGACTGCTTTATAAATGCATTTAAAGAGGATAGAAGGCGCTAGCTCTTGTGTTTTACACGTTAAATATATCTTTCAAGACATTTTGCCTAGTGTTCAAGGCCTATATTTGATCTTTTCACATATATTTCTTCTCTTCCAAGGCCCATTTATTATCTTTTAACGCCTACTTGTCATATTTTAGAGTCTATTTACAATATTTCAAAGTCTATCTTCTATCTTTCAAAGCTGTGACATGAGGTTTAATAGCCTATATGCTTGCTATATTTTTGTATTTACAACGCCCTCGCTCCTTCCTGAGGACTTATAACGCAGCAAATGTAAGTCTAACCTTTCTAAATGTCACATAAGTTAGCATAAAGAGAAGCCACCCTCCAAATACTTCGATAGTAATACCAAACTACTCCAAAGAAAAAACGCAGAATTTGATAGTAACTGTCTAGTAATTTCTAGATAGCCAGAAGGGCCAAAAACAACCTTTTGGCTTTCTACCTACCCTACACGTACTATCTAACTTAAATAAGATTCTAAGATTTTTTTGTAAAAAAAAAATATTTAGTATTACTATTAAAGAATTTCAAGGGTGATTTCTTTCTAATCAATGACAGCATTTAAAGGAAGAGGTGACATTCCCTCCTTGGCTTTTCATTGTGAAACGATGAGAATACCTTGATTTAAAATGACTTCTTTACCCTTTCATTTAAGCGAGTTTCTTAATAGATTGAAATGTACTTTATGCCCGTTATCGTATAAGCTTCGAGGAGGAGTCGACGATATTTGTGAACTTAACTCTCATATATAAATATGAGATATAGTCTAAAAGTAGAATACAATGAGCCTTAAAACACAGTTAAAAAGCAATCAGAGAGTTTTCTTAAAACATTTTAGTTTTAATAATAATCATTAGCTATTCTTTTATTGCTTGCCATTTGCAACATTAATGGAAAGACTGACGCTGCGTTGATTGCTGCTAATACATGTGTGCCGTCAGATCCTTTGCTTATTCGCCTTCACTAACAAACAAAGCTAAGCTTTTGGCTCTGCGATCTCGATATATTATTGTCAGCTTATCTTTCACTATTTAAGCTTGAGTTTGTATTCTGACAGTTTCAGAGGTGGTGTAGATTTTATGGAGGACCTGTTGACTTCAGAGGCTTATATAGTTGATCTGAAGCATGACATTGAACTTGTGATGTGCCTGACAAAAGAAGGCCATCCGAAAAAGTGTAGCATGCCCATATATGTACTCAACGAGCATGTAATCCACCCGTGAAGCTCACTAAGGTTCTACTTCCACCTTCACCCAAATTCAATGATCGAATCCTATCTACCTCGTCGATCTGCTCGGTTGAGCCTTGGGTAAAAATACTGCATCTTATTCATGTCATGCTCCAGAGAATTGGATGTGGAGCTGGTGCTGGACCTCTAAGGTGTTCCTTCCAATACACAATAGGTACCTGCCAGTTCTACCAGCCATGTCACTGGTGCCGAGTTTTCTGGGGAAGGAGCATACCCCACCTTGTACTTGCCATGAACAGCAGAAGGGCCCCATTGCCCTACCGCAAATTTTCAAATTTCGTGCTTTGAAGTGTTAGATTTCCACACGTAACAACGACAACAACAATAGCAACAACAACACCACCACCACCACACCACCAATCAACAACAACAATAACAACAACAACAACAGCAGCACCAGCAGCAACATGCCCGGACCCCTCGTTTCCGCCCCCACTCCCCCACTCAAGGCGCTCACCAGCGCTGACTACCGGGTCTACATGACCTTGTACCGTTACGTTTGGCAGACTTTGGGGGGCTACCACGAGCCAGTTGTCAAGAATCCCAACTTCACCAGGGCGAGATCCAAGGCGCAGCGACTGGTAGACAGCTACATCGAAGAAGAAAAGAACCGCATCTGTAGCTCGATCACAGGCTGGCTGGGTGGTCATGCTTGAATGGCACATCTTCGCGACATGCTTTGCATGGTTGCGATGGAGCGCCGGAGCCAAGTCGAACCCCAGACACCTGATGAGGCTGATCTAGAAGTTTTCTTTCGTCCTGAGAATGTTGCAGTCATCAACAGACTGCGTCATCTTTTTGTTTTAGCTGGTGCTGATCATGACTTCGTAGGGTTCAAGGCTGTGGATTACGAGTCACTCGAGCCTAGTGGTCGTCTTGACATCGATAAACTCATCGCCGATACCGACGATGCCTCTAGAGCGGAATGGAACAACACAATGTCCATTTCCTCTGTACCAACACAACAGCTTCATGCTGTTATCAAGCAACAAGCTGTCGATGCCCGATTTCTTTCTTCGAAGAACAAACTGGGTGCGAGGCATCGTACCGAGCAGGAATCCCTTGCTCGATTGCCTCCAGCTGATCAGAGGCTACTGCACTCCGAGGCTCGCCTCAGGGAGGTTGTACTCGGCCGATCAACATGGGAGGCGGCTGATGTCGATGTGTCCGAGTCCACAGGTGATGATGACATTGTCTGGGAAATGGTTCCTCTGTCAGTCTCTGTGGACCTTGAGGACTCATCCCTAGACCGTTCAGGGGCCTTGTTTTATCGGACATTGGACATTTCTTCCAGTATGACGAACAAGCCTTACCGACAGTTCATTGATGCGCATGGTCCCGTGCGCTCTTTGAGTTGCTGAAAAGGTGTGTTGACCCCAATATGTGAACTAACGTTGTCGTTCCAGGTAGAATTGCGGACCAGACATACCTTCAGGGTCTAGAGGAGGGTGACCTTCCCAATCGCCCAGGATGGTATCTCGGAGTCGGCGAGGATCCTGAAGACCCCACATTTTCAAGTTATATGTCGGCCAAACGAGGGATACCATCATGTCCAGGGTGAGCTGTCACAAGAGGCACGCAATTGCTTTGCCGGTCCTATTGGCGACAGGACAGCCTCCCGACGAGTTTGGTGGTGTCGGGAAAGCCGCACTGTTTTGCTTGGTCTGGGCTGCCACAAGCACCAGACGTTTCAAGTTTCTACCTCTTGGGGCAGATGTAAGTACTTTCAACAACTCCAAGCAGTTGTGGCTGAACATCGTGGAGATGTATTTCTCCCTGATGTTCCAGTCCCTTCATACAGGTACGTTGAGAAAGTATCTTGGCGCAGAGCGAGTGAGGGCTCCAAACCTTGGAGTCAACATTGCCCTGCCTGTTTACCAAGGATTTAGGAACGATGCGATCCGCGCAACCTTGACGTGCCTGGCATCGGACGACCCTGAGGTCGTTGGGTTTGCCAAGGAGCAACTCGAGCGTAACCTCGCCATCGGAAGAGCCAAGCTGGCCGAGCTCGACTGGGCTCCGATCACCCGGGCAATGAGAAGACTGTCGCCCATCTGGGCGGGACGAACTCGCAACCCCGACCGTTCAAACGGCGACCCGGAGGAAGTGAAAGTGATGTGTGTCCAGTGCGGTTTCACAACCGTGGACACAACTCCCGCTTACCACATCCTCACTGGCGCCTACGTCGTCCGAAAGGGCTGATGTTATACGTGTACACGGAATCCAAGCGACGTTCCTGATGCCAGCAAACGTGCCCGAAAGATCCTGTACCCTATCGAACCCATCGCTCATGTTTTGTGGCATCAAATCTGAAGGGCGCCAGTCCTCGGGGTTTGTCTCACAGAACGAGTCGATATCATCATCTTCAGCTTTGGGCCATTTAGCGGTATCGGACCATGATTGCCCTCAATCAACGTCTCCATGCGTGAAAGTGGTGCCTTGGTTGCTGTGTCGAGCCTGCTACATGGGATTGGATTCCGGGCCTTGGTCCTCATCCTCATGCATGTTAGCCATGTTTCCTCGATAGCGTCGGTTGTGTCTTGCACTGCATTAGATCAGGACTTCTGTCTTGCATCTTCATGCGTGTCGAGCCTCATCTCTTCGCGGCTGGATCGTGGTCATTGTGATCGAGATGGTGCCCGCGGTTGTTAGCAATCGCAGGGTTTTCTCGACACGAAGGCTAGGATTAGGTCATCTTCATAGCATAATCGAACAGCCTTGTTCAATTGTAGTGGAGATTATTCAGGGCGGTAAAAGGGCATTTCCGTCCTTTTAAGCCTTGAATGGCGTCCGTCTTTCTATTCAGGGTTTTGTTTGTGTTTTTTTTAGTTCGGGATGGGTGTCCGTCTTTTTATTCACACTGCCGCCCTTTTTTTGTTGAGGGAAGTTCGTCTTTTTCTGCACCCTTTTGTACTCGAGGGTCAGGAGGAGTGTCGGTCTGTTTTCTATTGCGCCAGGGACTAGCGCTCGTCGCTGCAGTTGAGTTAGGACCGAGAAGTTGGTGGCGGTCTCCGTCTTGCGATGTGGGGTTACTTGTTTTCACTCGAAAGAGACGGTGAGGGGCGTGTTGGAAATGTGGGAGCCCTTGTGGCATCGAATATGTTTTCCTGGTGTAGGTAAGAGGGGTGTTGGTGTCGTCCATCGTTTTTCATGAGGGTGTTTGTGTGACTCTTGCTGGCGTGGCTCATATTGTCGGTACGGAGTAGTGTTCTGGGGGAATTGGTTGCATAGTGGTTGAGGAACGGGTCGATGATTGGTGACGATGGGGTTGGTGATCTCAAAGGCCATGATGCTTTTTTGGGGAGAACTGTTTCCCTGATGGCGCGCTTTATTTTGTTTGCGAGATGATGCTGATCTTCACAGGCGGTGGTAGTGTCAGGTGTGAGTAGGTCTCCAAGGGGTTCTTTGAGAGCCGTGGGGTGTGGGATTGGGGGTACGTCTGGTGCGATGCAGGATTCAGGGTCGTTGAGTTCGGGACGAGGACGCAAAATGGAATTTCGGGCTTTGTTGAATACCCTTCGGAGGAGTTCACATGGGGAAAGTTTTCGTTGGTCGTGTCAATGACATGCGGGTGGTGGGTGTGCTGGAGTTGATTCCATGGTAAAGTTGATCCCTCGATGTTGCTGACCAAATACTGGCTGATATGGCTGACATGGCGGGTTAGAGCAAGGAACGGTAGGGGGCGCGATGGGAAGATATATCGTTTTAGTGCGCGTCCTTTCTCACACCAAACGGGGTATGTTCATCGCAAACGCCTTCTGATCCCCGCGCTGAGCTTCCTCTAACATTTTGCAACCAGTCATGTAGGACCATACATCCATTTCTAAATTTGCGACTCCCTACCGTTATTTACCAATACCTCGATGCCCGCTTTTGCCTATCCCAAAGGAGTCAAAAGGGCGTTCGTGGGCCAGCTATATCGACAGCCGTTCCGTCGACAACCAGCTTTGCAAGTGTGAACCAACAACGATTTCAGCAACCAACCCCTAGTGCTCTCCCCGAGACTTCCTGCTAGGACAATCAGCTTTCTGCCAAACTTATCCCCTGGCCCGGCGACATGAAACGGTGCGGACCGCCAGCGAAAAGGTCAACGATTTCCGCGTGAGTGGAGCTGCCTCGCCCTGCGTATATGAGCGTCGACAAGAAGCCCAGAGGGCAGAAAGAGCACAGGAGTAGTCATCGGCAGTCGTCAACCAAGCAATTTGTGTGGAGGATGGCAGGCCTTCGCAACCATGACCGCTGCCCATTCGACACAACATGCGCTCCGGGAAGTTCAGCGTCCAATCTCTCATCACGCCGGATAGTCATTTCCATCACCCAGAACTACATACAACTTCAGACGATGGCACTGTCAAACCAGTCAACTAGGACATTTAGTTCCGGCATACAACACGCGCGTCCAACAGTCCGAACAATCACCATCGTCACCCACCGGTCCACCGTACAGATCATAAATCACGACCGCGGTGTCGACCGACTGAATTCTCATGACTTATGCCATCCAGCTCATACAGTATAATGGCCTGGGCCCTCATCAGGGTGACCAGGCCTCCACCTGACCAGTATCAACATCACGAACAGACCACCTGAACCCTGTCTCTTCGGGTTCGCCACTGGTGCCGAAACTCTCGCTATTCTCATCACCACTGCCTCCGATAATGATGCCTTGTTCGTTCTTTTGACCATCACAGATGCCCGAGTCAAGCTGCGGTTCAATCACCATCGCAGCGGTCGCAATGGCAAAAGCCCCCACGACCAATTGATCATCACGGCAATTACTCAACCTCACCATGGGCCACCTAGCCCGACTGAAGCAATCTCTGGAGGGCTGAGAATGATGGCCGAGGTCCTGTCCAAGCAACCTGGAAGACTGGAAGTTGGATGAAGGAATATCCTAGTTTCTGTATTAACGAACATATTACTTTAGGTATCAAGCTCTGATATAGCTTCCTGTAATTTTCTAGACTAAGGACTCTGTATAACCTGACGAGAATGGGTCAAGAAGATGGACTCTCAAGCCAGATCAGACAACACTTGTTTTAAGAAGAACCTCCGTCTTGCCTTGAATCGACATGAAGTGATTCACCGCGCTATTTTCCAGACTCCCACTCCAAAACTGTGGGTTGTCTGGAGATGGAATGTTGAACAGCGGAAGGTGCGCCTAATGTCCATCCAATCCGTACTGCCTGCCATGTTCCTAACCTGAAAAATAGAAAAAGGTGGCAAGGCAGGCACGATGTAGCTCGAGCAGGAATAGGGCAGGGACTGCCTTCCCTATGTAAACGAACGAGGCCCAGGCTGGATATTTCCTGTCTCGCTGATGTGTGCCCGCACAATGCTCTTTTTCTCCTCAGGCATCATCAACCGCCAACGTACGACGCCCACCACTCTGCAATGCAGCATAGATGTATTGCGCGCATAAGTATATTTACTAACTGGCATATCATAGACACTCTGCTATCCACACACGCCGCCTCCCCAAACACACCAGTAAGTCCATATCTTGCCACTTTTCCCACATGTGCATCGGCACCACAAACTCCCCCTCACTTTCCATATACACAAGAAATTATCAAAGGTCTAGCACCCACATGGCACCCGTGTCGAGATTCGAGAGAGCCTGACCGTGCTTGTGGTTGAGGAAAGACGTTCCAATGGTCTACAGTTGTTGGTCAATTGGTGGACGGAGTGCCTACCTATCTATCATATGTGGCAGACTCGATACCATGAACATGAGAAGTTCTAACATTGCAACTAAACTAGTCTCTGTCAACGCCAAATTTGCGGTCTCCGTCTCGCTCGCCGGCGCCTCGCTTGAGACAGCGTCGGCCTTTGCCGCGAGCTTGCTCGCGGATGCAAGCGCTGGCAAGCGCAAAAATATATGTACCTCTTCGTGTCCTCGCGCCGGATTCTCGAGTCTCCCATGCCATGTTGTGGTCCAAGGCCAGGAAGTCATTGTTTTAGCTAGACTATCCACATGTTTGGCAATACAAATGTGTTCAGTCAAGGTGCTTCTACTCTGAGATTGGTAGTGATGACGAGATCCCAAAACGTTCACTGTTGACCTTATTCAAATGCTGTTGTGATATCACTCACTTCCCTGCTACAGGCCTTCACTGGATTCCTTCCTTTCCTTTGCCTGATTCCCCTTCCTTTCCTTTACCAGATTCCAGGCACTTTTTCCCATCGACGACCTTCCCATTGCTATATCAAACGCTAACAACGTTATACTAGACGCAACGCAACCAATCTGCGGGCAACCCCCGCAACCAGAACAAGACCGCCGCCGCCGCAAGGCATCGTATCATCTGGTTCAACGTTATCTGACCTTGCTAACACATTTTAGAAAACTCCCGCAAATGGCGTACGTTAGATCCCTATGATGTGTACTCGTTCCTATGTTGGACTCGAACATTGCCATTGCTAGCAAGATACGACGTATGCCAGAATGAGAAAGCGGCCGAGGAGCTCGCCGCCCAAGTAAGTACTCACCATTGTTTCGCCTTAGATGGCTTACGTAGCGAGGCTAACTTGCAAAGGCTGAAGTGAGGCGGGCCCGCAAGCAGCGCCGCCGTGAGCGGCAGAAGGCCAACAAGGCCAAGAACAAGGCGGCCGTTGGTAGGGAGGGGAGAAGGGGGAGAAGGAGAAAGAGACGGAGAAGGAGAAGGAGGGGGAGAAGGAGGCGGCTGAGGCTGCGGCCGGCGCTGCCGGTGTCGATATTGTAAGTGCATTTATGAGTTCCGTGATAATTGCAATAACTAACTTACAAGATGTAAGCGGATGGACGAGACTTGATTCTTTTTTTTTTTTTTTTTTTTTTTTTTTTGCTATTAATAATTCTTTTTTTGTAGCTCTTTAATTACCTTCGCAACATGATGAGCTCGCAAATTCATTCAAAGTCTTGATCTGTGTTAATGTGAACAGTCTTCGGTTTCTTGGGGCGCTAGAAGGAATGTGGGGTTTCAACGACATCATCGCCTTCCACAACAGAGACCTTCGAGAAAGCTGAACCCCCACAGAGCATGCTCCTCCAAAACAGGGATCATGACCACACCCGGCATCTCTATCCAGATATTCTCTCCTCTCACGAGGTCCCTCTGCCAAGGACACGTGCAGTTGGGGTACATTTTATCGCGGCAGGCTCTTTGAACGACTCGCCAATGGGACCTCTCCCAAATTCCCGTTTGCGGGTTGTAGCGCGTCTAAGGGTGACCCTGTGCCTTGGAATCGACATGAACGGTTCCTGGGCTTCGTGGGGCTCCCCCCGTCTGTTGCCACATCCCACTACTCCCTGGTAACCGTATTGAGTATTCACGGCATCATGAAGTTGGTTCTAACTGCAGCGCTGTCAGACTGTCAGACGGTGCGCAACGTCCGCTTTGAAAAAAGGTTTAAAAGGCGGAGTGAGCCGGCGACTCGGGGTTCCGGATGTAGAATTGAATCTTTCTGAACTTTTGACCATTCGCTATTGAGTGGAATTTTTGATCTTTTCTTTGATACATTTCAACTATCCACCCGGCTGTTCAAGTAAATAATCGTCATCATGTCGAACAAACCCATCTTCGTGGCCACCCACCCCAGGGCCTGTTCAACGGCCTTTGAGCGCGTCTTCATGACCAGACATGATATCCTTCACTGTGTCCACGAGCCATTCGGTGATGCCTTCTACTACGGTCCTGAGCGTTTGAGCGAACGTTTCGAAGATGATGAAGAGGGCCGCAAGAAGAGCGGTTTCTCCCAGATCACTTACAAGGATGTTGTCGACCAAATATTCGACCCTGCCGCCAGTGAGGTTTGTTATTACCCCTTATTTCCCCCAATCCACCACTTACTGACAACATCTCAATACAGGGCAAACGCATCTTCATAAAAGACATCACCCACTACCTCCTCCCCCCACACCAAAAACCAGCCAGTATTCCCCCATCCCTCTCCTCCTTCGCCTCTCCAGCAGACTCCAACAACCCAACCGTCCTCCCCATCTCCCTCCTTCGCGAATTCCACTTCACCTTCCTCATCCGCCACCCCCGCCGCGCAATTCCCTCTTATTACCGGTGCACAATCCCACCTCTGTCATCCAAAACTGGCTTCCACAATTTCATGCCCTCGGAAGCCGGCTATGACGAGCTCCGTCGCCTCTTCGACTACCTTCTCGCTGAAGGCCTTCTCCTACCCCCATCCGACAAAGCCAACGGCCACAAGCACGACGAAGATGCCGTGAAAATCACAGTCATTGACGCCGACGACCTCCTCGACCACCCCGCAGAAATCATCCAGCGGTACTGCGAGGACGTGGGGATCGATTATGACCCCAAAATGCTCAAATGGGACGACGACGAGCAGCACAAGCGAGCCAAGGAGGCGTTCGAGAAGTGGAACGGCTTTCACGACGATGCCATTGGGAGCACAGAGTTGAAGCCGAGGGTGAACGGGCCGGTGAGTTTTTCTAGGAACATAAAAAGGGGATGTGATGGGGATGATTGCTGACCTTGAGAATGTTAACGCATGCAGAAGATCCTAACCGAAGAGGAAGAAAACGCCCAATGGAAAGAGAAGTACGGCGAGGAAGGGCAAAGGCTGATCAGGGAGACGGTCGACGCCAACGTGGCCGATTACGAGTACCTCAAACAGTTCGCCGTCAAGGTTTAGACAATGGATAGACACCACAAGTTGAATAATACACAATTTTTTTTTATCCTCCTCCCAATTTTATCACACAAATGCCCATCCTGTCTAAAAATACACGATTGTTCATACCCCCCCCCCCTTCTTAGCTTTAAAGACCCTCCTTAGCCCACTTGGGCGCCTTGCCCGTGAACGGCTTCGGCGCTCTTGGTCTACTCTTCCACCCAGTCTCGCCCTCAGGCGTAGGCAAAAACGGCTGCATCTTCTTCGCCTTCTTCGCCGCACGCTGCTCCTTCAACTTCGCCTTCTCCTCCCTCTTCGCCAGCTTCTTCTCCGCCAACACCGCGTGAAGGTCCACCAGCCTCTCCTGGTTGGCGATCATCTTTTCCAAGTCCTCGTTTGTCCAATCATCCTCCGGCAAGCCAAGAACATGCTCGACGTTGTCTGGCCAGCTCTCGGCAAAGTGGTGATCGAGCTCGTTGGCCCAGAACACGCGGACTTTGTGAAGTACCGGGACCGGTTCCTCCAGTGGTTGTAGCTCCTGGATCTGCTTCTTAACCTCCTCGATCTGCTTCTTCACCTTTGCGATCTTTTTAGTTTCCTTCACCTCCATATCCTCCCCCCCGCCTTCCCCCTCCCCCTCCAGCTGCCCGTCCCCCTCTGTAACGTCCTTCACCTTCCTTTGCACCTCTCTCTGCGTATCCTCCAACTTCATCTTGTTCTCCTCCAACTCCTCCAACTCCTTCTCCAACTCTTTTCTTTTTTTCATATCATCACTAATCTTCTCCCTCCACTCCCTAATCTCCTCAAAATTCCTCGCAACCTTGTTCCCCTTCCCCCCACCCCCAAGCACAAACGCCATATCCGCCACAGTATTCCCCTTCTGATCATTCAACTCCCTCCCCCTCTCCTTCTTGGTCAAGTTCAACAACCTCTTCGCCTCCTCCCCCCCATCATCCCACTCCAGCTCGTGCCTCTTCTTCAGCTCCACCAGCTTCTGATAAACCGACAGGCCCGCCGCCCCCTCCCCCCTCAGGGAACTGAATCGTAGCCATAGGCCTCCAGTAATCCTTGCGGATCTTGATCAGAGTGTTCTTTTTGCCCGTGAACTGGACCTGTCTCAGGGATTTATTCGCCTACTCCAAGTTAGCATCCCACCCCTTCCTTTGCACCCACCCCTCCGGAGAAACTCACCCTCAGCTCCCTCGTCGTGCTCCAGAGCACATGATTCGCCTGGATGTGATTCCACAAATACAACCTCTCCCCCAGCACCTTCGCCTCCTCCATCTTCCTCTCCATCTCCCTCTCCCTCTCCGCAATCGCGTCCGCCTTCTTCTTCGCATTCATCTGCAGGTGAAGAGCGCTCTTTGTCGTCTTTGTCCTCACCACCAGCCCCAACCCCGGACCCAGTCGCCTCGGCGCCACCACCGCCGTGGTTGGCCGTCTGGCAATCATCACACTTGCCAGACAGACTGGCCGGGTGACCATGGCAGCCAGTAATGAACGGGACGCCGCCGCTGTGCGAAGGGAGTTCATACCTACCCTTCTTCCTTTCCTTTCCTCAGCCAAATATAGTAGCCCCTCCTCGTAAGAGTCGTTCGGGTGGTTTGCCGCAAGCCTTCCCCGTGTGTGTGTGTGTGTGTTCGTTGACTCCGGACACGGGAAAGAGAAAATAGCGATCGATCGCGCGGCGAAGAGGGAGAGGCGAGTTCGTCGGCTCGAAAGAAAAAAGGTGGTGGTTCGTCTCGTCGTTGCAGCAAGCCGGCCGCGGGAACACACACAGACGAGCTCCAGAACTTTTTTGGAGGTCTTCAACTGGCGCTCCGACTGGCTGGAATTGTGGGGTTTGCCAAGATATTACTTCCTTCTAACCCTAACCCTGATATGTTCCCCCCTTTTTTTGTCTATCACTGTTGAACATGCACAAGTACAAAAAGCGTTCCTCATTATACGTAACCAATAGTTCATTCGCAGGCTATGGATAAGGAATCAACAAATAGGTATACCCCTAGGTAAGCAGAGAGTTTCACAACCACACTCCATCAAGTATTATACAATCTCATCGCCCCCCCGCCCCCCACCCTTGATCACAATTACCATCCCCCCGCTCAAGGACCTCAAAGCACCAAACAAAAACTCATAATTCCCATTTTTGCTTTGCCATGAACGTGATAATCTCATCATCAAGAAACTCCTATGAACCAACAAAAATAAAACTCCCTGCTCAACGCGTAAGACCCCCCCTTGATCTACCCACCAGTGTCCACCACCCAACCCCAAACCCCATCAATACCGCTACCGTGCCCGCAGTCATCAACCTAGGAGATAACTGAATGAGTCAACGCAAAAGGCAAACAACGGCGCTGAAGAAAAAAGAAGAAAAACACCACGAGAAAACAGGCCGGGAATCGTCCAGTTCACAAGTGTTGCCGGGGTAGTAGCGAAAATAACAAATGTCTTACGTCGTGTTTCGTTTTTTGCCGCCACATAATCTGCTGATGAAGCCTCCGATGATGTCCACAAAGAGCAGCCGGAAAAAGGCCTGGATCCAGCTCACCCCATTGTGCTCAACGCCCGTCGTTCGGTTCGATACTGGACTTGTAACCCTAGGAATCTCTTGTTCAACTTCGGGTGCTGGAGCGGCTCTCTTCTTGAGGCTGTTGGTGTTGTTGGCCGACTCAAGGGCCGTGGTATGCGATGATTCGGCAATCTCATCGTCGGTGGCTCTCTCTCCGACAGCCACAGGTGCAGGAGCAGCGGACCTATCGTCAGGGACCTGTGCTTCGGCTTCGTCGGCTACCTTGGAGGTGTTAGAGTGATCCTCAAGCGAAAGGCCGTCGGCTTTCGTAGGTGCAGCGTCGCCAGAGGCCTCGAGCGGCGGTGTGTCCCTGAACAGAATATCGCTGGCGGTCTTAGGGGCTTCGGCGGTCCTAGGGCTGATGCTATCCTTCAGGGAAACACCTTCGTCATCTTCTTCCGATCGGGGCTTCAAAGAGCTGGGCCTGGACTTCATTTCTGGGTTAGAAAATACAATAGGTGATGGGGTAGTTCCGTTTTCCTCGCTGGCGGGCTCTTCGGCTTCCGAAATGACTTGAAGGGAGGGCGACACCGGGACGGAGGACGCAGAGCCATGGGAGGGCCTAGGTACCTCAAGATGCTGTGAACCTCGATGGGAAGTGGGGATTGACGAATCGCCAAGGATGTAGTCGGTGATATCTTGCGTTCCTTCCAGGGGAGAGTTGATGACAGGGGAAGGGGGGACGCCTTCAAAGGACGCCTGATCCTCGTTGAGACTCGTCTCCAGTTTACGTACTGTATCGATAATTTCCTCTCGGTTGGACGGGAAACGTTCCAGTGTGGGATCATTCAAGTCGATCTGATCAGGGTCAATGTCTTCCATTGGTGACCTGTCGTCGCTGCTTTCACGTCGCTCGACAGCATCACCGGGCGTAGGGGGGCTGGGACACTCGTGAGGGAACAGCGGCGACTTGAGGGCAGGAAGCTCATCGCCTTGGCTGGCGCTTGGGGGGCCGAGGAGGTTGTCGTCGTCGTCGTCGTCGATATGGGGCTCCGAGATGAGGATGGCCTGTTGGTGTCAGTACTGCGTGCATACGTATCAACTAGGATGTGGAAGATCATACATCAACCCGGTCCAAAACCTCCGCGGTATCCGCAACTTCTGCAGCGGTTTCCGCGGTTTTGGACATGGGAGTAGGTGCCCTCTCGAGCAAGCCGTCTCTTGGATCCTTTGCCGGAACTTCTTCGTGCAGAAGCGCGGCAGAATCAGCAACCTCGGCGGCAGTCTTCACAAAGTCTGGAGTGCCAGCACCAGACTGTGTTCGGATCTCCTGAGCCTTGATGGCTTCCAGTATGCTACCATTGGGCAACACAATGTTGGTAGTCGTGGAGTCCTTGACGCGAATCTTTGGGACGTCGCTCTCTTCAGACACCTCGGTCGACTCCTTCAAGTCTTCAACCACCTCGGTCGATTCCTTGGGGTCTTCAGAATTTTCTGTTACCGCGGTCGGTTCCTTGGATGCTTCAGGCTGTTCAGAAGTCTCAGTTGCTTCATTTGGAGCCTGGGGAACCACCTCTGGCTGCTTTGGAGCTTCAACCTCCTTGGGCACATGAGTCTCCTCGACTGTCTCAGTAGGCTGCTTGGGAGCTTCATCCTCCTTGGCGGCCTCGACTGGCTGTTTGGGGGCTTGAGTCTCCTCAATTGACTGCATTGGAGCTTCAGCCCCCTTTGGTTCCTCCACCGGCTTCTTCGGGGCTGGGGTCTCTTCGACCACCTCAGTTGGCTTCAAAGGTTCAGCCTCTTCAGGTACCTTGACTGACTCCTGCGGGGCCTGGGTCTCTTCAACCACCTCAATTGGTTTGGAAGCCTCGGCCTCTTCAGATTCTTCGGCTGACTCCTTTTGACCTTGAGACTTTTCGGGAAGCCCGGCTGGTTCATCGGAAGACTTTTCTTCGCCCACGACAGCCGGCTTCTTGTCCTCGATCGAATCAGGTTTCGATCTGTCTACGTTAGTATGAGTGACGATACTATTTTGTGTGCCCTTACTCTTTTGGTGGTTGAATCTCCAGCTCGTGATTGGTGTTGCCAGAAGAATCAGTCACGGTTGGCTGACCCGGTGCCAAATCCCACCAATCACCGTTTCCAATGCGGAATTTGTATTGGTGCTTGGATCCAATCTCACCAAGAACTTCTTTCGAAAAGACATGCTCGCCATTCTGATCGGTGGTGTAGGACATCTCCTCGGGAGTCCATGGTGGGCTCGAGAAGGTGCCGGCCACATAGATGGGCGGCTGCGTGCCGGGCTTCTCGTATGTAACGACGACGGGAACCTTGTCCGACGGCATGGCGGGCGGGCGGTTGACGGGTGGATGTGATGGGTAGCCGGCAGGGAATTCGGATCAGGGACGAGATGACGGCGTCATCGAAGTACCACGGGTGATGAGGTGGTTCTGGGGATGCTGATGCTGGTTGATGATACCGAGCAGAAGAAGAGTAAACTGCTGGTGGTTGAGTTGACAACAGGTAATGGAGAGAAAAGGTAGGTAAAGGGGTAAAAGAGGTAAGTAAAGGTAAGGTAGCGAGGTCGAAAATGCGCCGCACCCAATTGTTTCAGGGCGAGTTCCCCTTCCAAGTTCCCATCACGCCACTGGCTCTGCGAGGGGTGTGGGACTTAATCAAGGCCGGCAGGAATCGCGCGGGGCAGAGTTGCACGGCAGAAGAGGCTAGAAGGAGCAATGCACCAAGCTACTGTCTTCACCGTCACTCTGAAAGATAAGGAAAGGGAGGGGGGGATGGAAGACCTACAACGATAGCGATGATAGCTCTGTCCCACCCACCGCAGGAAATCAAAGCGGTCTGAAGACTGAACACGGGCAGGCAATTCCAAAAAAATGTCGAGTCTCAAAATTTTATTTCGGCCTCACCGAACTCGGGGGGCTGGACAAAGAAATGGACTCATAGTGCCAGCAAACACCAGCAGCTGAATTCCAAGCTGGTGTGGTTTCTCCTCCCCAAGCTCCTCCAAGCTGCTGCACGTCGACCCAAACGGCCAGGATATCCCAGCCTGAGCGGGCATGTTTTTGGGCGGCACGAAAAAATGATAACGATATGAGGTACAGCAGTGGTCAGCAAGCTCCTCCAGCTGTAACTGAAATGCCCGTTAACTGGTGCTTGAACGGCCATTAGCTCTGGAGCTAGCAGCTAGCGTCGATCCCCCGCCCGGTCCGCCAAGAACCGACAAGGCCTTTCAGTGCGTCATCGACAGCGGTGACAGGCCGGGCGCTGCTTGGCGGTAACCTTGGGCAAAAACCTCGACAAAACAATTACTGCCATCTCCCACCGCCTTATTTTCAGGTGCAACTGCAGGGTTCCATCTCAGCATCCCCTCACGACGACTCTTCCCCAAAGCTCCAGTTATATAAACAAAATCCCATTTTTGACGTCGTCTTGGTTGTGGTCCTCGCTGTCTTCTTGCATTAGTTCAGGCATTCATCAGGAAACTGGCCAGGTAGATATTTTGAAGACTGCTCTTCACCTGCTCTCTCATCTTTTTTCATTGCGAAACATTGTCGCAAAACCACGCGAGATCTTCGACGGGACTCTTGGCATCAAATACATCAAATACCCCCTGTACCCTGGTTGACGACCGCTTCCCGACTGCTGTCTTGTCTCGGAAATATTCCAGAAATCAATTTTGGAGGAAGTGAATACACTTTGCATATCGACGCCCCCGACCCTCTTTTTCCTGTATCTCTCGGCAGGCTAGGCATCTTAAGAGCGCAAAAAAAAGAAGGACCTGATTAGGCACCGTTAGGCTTCCTGCAACTCAACGTCCCCCATCGCCGTTGTCACCGCCCGCTCCAACACACCTCGCATCCGAAGCAGACCACGTCAAACCCACCACTTGCAACGTTCCGACAATGGCGGCACTACCCCCCGATACGATCCAGGTGAAGCGCAAACGTGGCATCGACGATGCCCCTGTCGACTTTCTCCGTGTGTGCCTCTAAACCTCGTCTATCCATGCGACCATCGCTGTACTGACCAACTGTGTATCGCAGGGGTCGATAGGAGCAAGCGGTATCGCATCATCTCTGATGAGGTCGGCTGGGTCTATCAGCGCAAGCAGGTTGCGTCCGAGCAGGAAAAGAAGCCAAAGCATGACGCCAGCCTTGGAGTTCCTACCATTGTGCCTACCCAGGAAGGCGATGAGAAGCGCCTAAATCGCCCCAAGAAAACCCCCAGGGCCCCGAGCACCAATGCCTCCACGACGCTTGAGCCCGTGCCTGCGTTGGCGCCCGCAAGAGTGCTGGCGCCGGAGGCATCCGATTCGAGCGACCAGACAGTTAACCTGCGTAAATTCCACTTGTCGAGGCCCAACTCGTCACAACCATCTGCTGGCGTGACCAAGAAGCGCGGTGCCACTGCCGTCTTTGTTGAGAGAGGCCCAAAGAGACAAAAGTCCGCAATCCTGACCCCCCAGGTTGTGAAGGAGATTCTCGACCAACCCAACACAACACAATCCTCAATCAGTTCTTCGCCTGCCAAGGATTTACCTTCATCCTCACAGGAAGCGGAGAAGAAGCCCGTTGTCTACAAGCGACCAGGAACCAAACCTAGGAACAAGACATCAGCATCCGAATCGGGAACAACCTCGAAGCCCTCTGTACCCCCCTCCATGCACAATCGAAGAGCCGACATGGACGAGCTCTCCAGGGTTATGGATACCTGGACACTGGGTGAAATCAGCAAGAATCTAGACCGGGTGGAGCAACTCAATGCCAAATCGAAGTCCAGCCCAGCCAAGTCCCGGTTCCAACCAAAGGCACCCAAGCTCCGCTATCATGAGCGGCATCCGACAGAGAACGTGGCCCAACAGCAACGCGCTAAGGACCAAGCGGCCCCGGCTGCAGCTGCATCAACCTCTGCTATGGACATCGACATGATTGACACCTCGGACGACGATGATTATGTGATTGAGACGTACGAGCGTGTCCCCGCTGAGCGGCTGCGGGACCAGGCGGTACCAGCCCACCGTATCGGGTTGCTTGTTTTTGACAATGAGCCCGATGTCGCCGACTTCTTTTACGGCAATGATGATGAAACCGATGATGAGTTCCCTGAAGATGAGGATGACGAGAACGGTGAGCAGCTTGAAGCCCTCAGCAAAATGTACCGCAAACGCTAACAGTTCTGCAGCGGAGAACTACTATGCCCATGAATATCCCGACGAGGAGCTCGAGTGGAGCGATGAGTTTGATCACAACGCTTATCACTATGCAGCCCAGAATTTCTCAGAGAACGAGGAGTGGGACGACCGTGACTTTGCGGATGAAGCCTGGGATGCCGGTGACACAGTCAAGAACTTTTGAAGGGGCAACAAGCAGCGTTGATCTTATGAGTGGTGGTCTCCAGAGTTCGACGGGGAAAGCGTTTTATACCAGTTATACAGAGGAAATGATACCCTGGGCATGTCCCGCGTTTAGTGTAGTTATTTACATGTTTTCTATGTCCACTAGTCTTTGTTGTGTTTTGTAGTTGGTCGGGGCAGTGTGGTAAGAGGACTTGCGAGGCATCTGTTTGAGAATAGTTAGCTAGAAGGGAGATTTCCGTAGGAAACCTCCAGCAAATACTACGGGTGCATGGTCTAGTGGTATGATTTTCGCTTCGCATCCTTTCAAAAGGCGCGATTATATTGTGAACGGTCCCCGGTTCAATCCCGGGTGCATCCAAATTTCTTTTGCCCAACTTTAGTGTCAAGTTGACACTATTTTGGCTTTGTCTTTTTGGGGCTTGGTTTCGTTTGGTCACTAACCCACCGGCCTCCAACAGAAAACAATAGCACTTTGTGTGTTAATCCGCCAAGTCCGTTCTTTTAGGACGTGAGACATACAAGTCCAATTTCTCGGGCCCGTCGGAGAAGCCTTCACCACTTGGCCACTCTCATGCTTTTTTGGCGGTTCAAACACTAGTTCATGAGCCTCAAGCAACCTCACCTGTTTATTCCGTCGAAACCCGAGGTTTCCATCGCATAACAATGGCCTTCGTTCCTGCCAAAGATAACACATCTCGCCAGGCTGCGTCATAGATATATCATGGGAAGTTACAAGGCTCTGTGTGGTGGAAGGAACATCCTGTAACCGCAAGTCTTCGGCGCCGTCCACCGGAGCAGCTATCATTATGGCACATAAATCACTTCCACATCATGAGTTTTCCGCACGTCTTTCGGGAGAAATCGTCTGTTACATCCTCGGGTCAGCCCAGAGTGACCCGCTACCACCTCGTCTCAACGGTAGTGTCGATTGACCATAAGCCCAGAATCCTCAAGTGGCGTTCCTCCGGCCCAGAGGCGTGTAGCTACACTGACTTATTATCGTGTTCCTCACCGCGGAGATAAAAGCAGTCCCGGACCCAGCCCTGACGGACAAGTATGTGGCTTCACAGTTCCCTGGACCCCTATAACACTAAGACCTTTTTTTCCCAGCCGTCGCGTTGTCTCTGCCCGTTCGATAATATTTCGACTTTAAACTTTGGCGTGCCCGAGTCGGGATAGCCAGACCACACAGGGCAGCTGGTACTCTCTTAAGCTTGGTGTTGCCCCGGTCTCTTGGTAGCCTGGACTGGTCATGTCGATCGATTTCTGCTTTTTGAGGTCTCTCACAAAGATCGACAACGGTGTTTTCCCATCCTAAACTTGAACGACGACCACGCCGACAACGCCGCCGCGATGAAGCTGTCCCGTGTTGGGGCCAGGCTGTTAGCTGCTGCCACGACGCTCGTCCCGGTGGTGGTGTTGGCTTGCGACGGTTGCTTCGGTCCCATTGAGGAGCATGCTTCGAAGCATGTGCGTGTCGTGAAACGCATGCAACCTGGGGCGCTGGATGCGAGCTATGGTCCTACAAGGCCGTTGCAATGGGGGCAGTTGAATGTGTTGCATACAGTCAGTTGAGCTTTCCCTTCTATTCGCCGATACATGACACTTCTTACCGCAGTGACAACAAAGGATACTGTATGGGTCTCTGCTCACACGTGAAAACCAGTCCGATACCCACGGATGGCTATCCGGCCACATCAAGGAGGCGAATTATGGCGCAGACTGGGGCGACTATGTCTCGTTTGTGGCAAGCATGAAAAGGACGGCCGAAGACCTCAAAGTGGACCTACTTCTTGTAGACTCTGGAGATCTTCATGATGGCACTGGCTTGAGTGACTCTACTACACCAAATGGAGAGATATCGAATGAGATCTTTGTCCAGCAGACCGGATATGATTTGCTGACTCTTGGTGCGTTCCTCATTTCCATTCATTCCCAAATTTTCTCATCAGTTCATACTTACATCTGTGACTGAAGGTAACCATGAGTTGTATGCCTCCGAAGTGGCCTACCAGACATTCAACAATTTTAGCAGGGCCTGGGGTGACAAGTATTTGACTTCCAATGTAGAAATCATGAACCCTGACACTCAGGAGTGGGAGCACATTGGAAAGACGCACAAGTACTTTACTACAAAACATGGTATGTCGCTCCGCCCATTTTCGGCTGGATAAGCGTAACTGATAGTCTTTCTCAGGCCTTCGCATCATGGCTTTCGGTGTTCTCTTTGACTTCACTGGTACGTGTCAGCCTTCACATCCGGAACGAGCATATCTAACCTGAGCAGCCAATACAAATGCCTCACGGATCACCAAGGCGGCGGATATGATCAAGCAGGACTGGTTCCAGCAAGCGGTTCATCATCCCAAACCTATTGATGTCTTCCTTGTTCTTGGTCACAACTCAGCACGTCCTGGACGCCAGGCCAGTACCCTGAAGACTGTCTACTCTGCCATTCGGGAGGCCCATCCTGACACTCCGATTCAGATATTTGGTACGTATTGTCTGTTCGCATAGAGTGAGAGAAACCAACGTATCACAGGTGGGCATAGTCACATGCGGGACTTTGTTGTCTATGACCAAAGCTCTACCGCTTCTGAATCTGGTCGATACTGCGAATCTCTTGGTTGGTTTTCCATGTCGGGCTTCAACTCTTCCAACAGCGGTTTTACTGGCCCTCTCAACCCCAAAGGCGTCCCCAACCCCAACCGAACGGCCGTTGTCGCCAACCCAGTGAACCCTACCCCCATCGACAAGAGGAGTAAGCAAAAAACCTCTCCCTTCCTCTACTCCCGTCGGTATCTCGACTGGAACCGTCTTACCTTTGACTATCACGCCCCCGGCTCGCAGTTCCTCCACAACGACATTCTCTCCCGCCCCAACTTCATCTCCTCCCCCTCTAGCTCATCTAACAGCTCATCCCAGCTGAAACAACTCGGTGCTCAAATCTCGTCTAGTATCACATCCTACCGCCATCAATTGGGCTTGGGAAAGGTATATGGGTGCACGCCACAGACGTTTTGGGTGACCGGGGCGCCGTTCATGGCGCCGAACTCGATGTACACCTTTTTGGCGGACGCAATGGCCCATCAGATTCTGAACCCAAAGAGGGCAAAGGTTCCGAGGGTTCATATCAGCAATACGGGAATGGCGAGATTTGACTTGCACAAAGGACCGTTCACGATGGATGATAGTTATATCACTTCGCCGTTTCCCAGCTTGGTGGTGTATATTCCCGAGGTGCCATGGGAAATGGCGAAAGGGGTGCTGGAGCGGATGAATAAGAAGGGCGCGGGGCAGGGGAGGAGGGTTGAGTATAATACCACGTCTGTCGGTGATCCCAAGGGAAAGAGAGAATTTGGGGTCTGGCAAGGAGAGGAGTGTGTCAACCCACCGATTGAACAGTTTGGGGCTATGGGGAAGAGAAAGGTCTTGGGGAAGAGAAAGGTCTTGGGGAAGAGGGAAGAAATTATGGGGGTGCCGGTGGGTAATGGTGGTGGGGGGAGGCAAGAGGTGTTGGAGGTGGGGTATACGACTGAGGATGACTTTGGGGTGGACGGGGATGATACGATTCATGCGAGAATCGCCAACTATGAGATTCCGGCCTATTTTGGGACTACCGCTGGGTTTCCGGAGTGGAAGAAGGGGGGGAGGAAGGGACGGAGGCAGGAGCCAAGGGTGGTGGATTTGGTTTTTAATGATTTGTAAGTTTTCCTTCCCTGGGAAATGAATGTGTGGATATGGGCCGACAATGGACAGTATCAACGATGATCTACTTGCCGCACTTGGGGGGAACTACACGGCGGACGACATCAAGTTTTACATGGAACCATCAAACTACACGCTGAGAGACTTCTTGGTGCCATATGTGGAACAAAACTGGCAGGCGGGGATGCCGATGTGTGAGATTTCAGGGAGAAGGCCTCACGTTGGGTGAACGGGGGGGGCAGAGTTCTATTAAGTTTTTGTGTTCTTTTCATTTTTTGGGTGGCGTTGATGGGAGTGAAAAAGTAGGTACAGAAAAGCTGTGCGAGATATGACTTTGAGTTGTGTTAATTTATGGATGGGAAAATCGAAGGAGGACGGCGATCCGGGTGATTATAGACATGAGTTTTTTGAACGAAATTTTAGAGCATTGACTTGGACTGTGATGTGGTGGGGAAATACAATAATGTTTAATGATCATTTGAACAGTGAATGCACGGATTTTATCATGTCATGTGTCTCTGATGACCTAGAGGGCCCATCCCTAGCCAGTTCAAAAGCCTTGTTTTATCGGATATTGGTCATTTCTATCAGCATGGTGAAGAGACCTTGGCAACAATCCATCAATGATTTGCCTCCGGACCTTGGTTTTCATCCTCATACAAGTCAGCTACATTTCCTCGGCCATGTCTTGTGTGTCTTCTGACACGGTATCAGACCAGGACTTCTGCCTTGCATCTCGATACATATGTAGCACTTCATCTCTTCGCGGTGGGATTCTGGTACTGTGGTTGAGATGGAGTCTGCGGTTGTCGACCTTGTCTATTTGATGTGTGTTGGGAATCGCAGGGTTTTCCTAACATGAAGCTCGGGGTTAGTTAGGTTTTGTTTGTGGTATAGGTAGATAGTCTTCGGGCTGTTTGAGTGTGGAGGGGATTATGCTAGGTAGAGGAAGGATACACAGGTAGTTATTTGCAAGCTTTGAATGGTGTCCGTTTTATTATTCGTGTTATTCTTTTCTCTTGTTTTGGGGAGTGTCTATTTTTCTATACATAGTGTTGCTTTTTTCCTTCACGAGGGTGGGGGGTTGTCTTTCTATGAGTGTTTTTGTGTTCAGAAGCCGTGAGTGGTATTTATGTTTATGTTTGACCTTGGCTACTGCATCAGGGATGGTGGTCCTCGGCAAGGCTCGAAGTGAGATGAAGAAACATCAGAGCTTGATATCTGGATAACTTTACTGTAAGTTCTATGTGACTATACCCGTACTCTGATAACGGATAATGTTCAACTGTGGAATCTCATCATGTATATAGAGATCTTCCACCCACTTTAGGCAGGTGCCTGCCGAGTGTTGAACAGTGGAAGGTGCACCTAATGTCCATCTAATCTGTATGTTGCCTGCCTGCCCAGGTACAATGAGAATTTCGACTGAGGCAGTTGCGATGTAGCTAGGCTGGGAAGGAACAGGACAGGGGCTGCCTTCCATCTCTGGCTGAGTAAAGGCGATGGTCAGGCTGCCAGTCTGGATGGACGCTTCCTCTCTTGCCGGTGTGCCCCGCATGACCTTTTCTTTCCCAAGCATCTTCACCATCAATGTACGATCCCTGCCACCGCGCAATACACCATCAAGCGGCCTATTTACTGACAGTATAACAGAAATTTTACTTCCAACCACGTCTCTAAACTGAAGCGGAAGCGGGCGTTTCATCCGAGGCAGTCGCCGACAAGCAGAGAACCAGTTTTCCAATTTCCCCAGCACAAGAGCATATCACTTGTTCCTTATCCCGACGCATGGCTGGTCGAATCAACAAAACAGACTGTCCAGACGATCTGCTGCCGTCGAACCGCCATCGTCATCTTCAATGTGTTGATCAATTCATGTCCTTGGATCAACAACTTGCTCCCCATATGTTCATCCCAACTTTTGACAACACTCCAACTCCATGAGCATCGAAACATGTGAACGGCGTGGCGAGTCGGGCTATCCAAACTGTCATCTAGCTGGCAATGCAGGTCTCGGCGACCGGCAACGGAAAGTGTCAGACATCTGAAAGGATGACACTGAGCGCTCGACGGTAAGGCGTGAATGTACAGTACATACCTGTTCAAACCTTACTCCAGACCGACAGACACTGACATAGCTGCTAGCCCCTGCCTCGCCTCCATCACAAGACAAACCCATTCACCGAGATCACGCCAGGCAGACCGTCCCCACCGGACTACTCGCATGTAGGCCGTTTGGCCGTTTGAGCTCTTTGCCGGAATGACGTCGCGGCGCGGCAACGGCTCAGCGTCCGTTGGCGGTGGCTAGAGAGCGTTCTTTCGACGGTGCCTTTCGACGTGCCTTTCGATAGTGCGTCATTATAGCGATACTGGGTCAAGGCGGCTAGTGACACCTGTCCGGTCTCTGCCTGGGTTTCCCTGGTACCTGTCAAAGCAGCTGTCAAGCGATATCGCATTCTGAGATGACATTGATGTGTTTGGGGGCAGATTTCCGGCAACTGCCTAACCCCCTAACAGCCTCGACCAGGTCTTGCAGGCAACAAGGCAATACCGGCTCGCGCTGTTGAATGACACCGGGACATTCGGCCTCTGCCACTTTTGCCCGCCGCGCCGACCGTCTTGTCCCTGTCTGCCGTTGTCACGAACACCTCGCTAGCGTCAAAAAAGCTTAACTCATGTTAAACCACAAGCTTGCCCCTGAGCTCCTGCTGCGTCCGTATCAGAGGCTAACAAGGGGCATGCATGGGGAGAACAAAGATCGTTTCGAACCCGATCATTTGATCGCCACTTTCTCGGCCTTCAATCCCTCTTCCGATATTTGTTCGTTATGCAGTTCAACAGCCAGGTCAGCGGCTAATGCCGGACAATGTGCTCACGATCGAGCTGTATCCTCACCTTTAGCAACGTCCAGAGCTACAGCTTCCAAATTGGATCGTCCCGAGTTTGGCTGCCCATGTTCGCATCGGTTAGGCAGTACAGCTTTTCTTTCTGCTACCATAGTTCCGCGTTGGTCATGAGGCAGATGTGGTGGCGGGGCATGATCCAGGAGGTCCGGCGGAAACCCGAAGCCTGTTCATTTGGGCGAGACATTTGACGCCTCCCGCTTGCTGACGCTGAAGATGAGAGAATATGTTCCCGGATACTCATTCTACCCCCATAGTGGCCCATCCCACACCGGGACCCGCAAGCGAAACCGACAAGTGTGCGGGTATACAAAGTCGTGACTGGTATTGACTGGTTCGGATGTGTCATTCAGCAAGACATTCTCATCTTGACAACCCTGTTCGCCAACCTCATTGCCGCCCTTTTCCTTCCCCACCCCTCACAAAACAACAACATGTCGCCGGGACAGGGCCAGCATTTTCACTAGCACACCCCATGCTTTGCTGCTGTCACCCACCGATCTCGGTAGCACAGATCTCCCTTTAGCTTGCTGTAGTGCTGCTCATCTGTCTACCCATCATGCCATTCCGTTTGTCGGTTTCTGCCAACATGTTGTTGTATGTATGTAGGTAGAGACCTGTCGTGTTAGCAGGGATCGGGTGGAGGATGAGTCGACTTCCACGCGGAGCAAGTGCCGTCATTCACATGGAAGCCATGTATTCTGGTAAGGTTTTGTATATTTTACTTATTTTTGGTTCTGGTAGTAGCAGACTCACCGGGTAGGTGGGTGTGTCACCGAACAAGGACTCTCGGAACCACCCAACGACCGGGCGAGGTCTCTGTTGTGGTTTCTCGGGTTCACTTGGCTTGAGACATTTTGTCAATTTGCTATGTGGTCAACCTCCGTCCCCTTCCCCCAGCCTGCCCGCCAACCCAGTCCAATGTGCTGGCACACACAGTAAGTAGCCACAGGGCCTATCATCTTGGTATTATTTGCTCCGATTCGATTTCGGGTTGTGACCAACTGGCCTTTTCCATTTATTATCTATACTCCCGAGAGACAAAGAAGAAGAGTTTGCTGTTGTAAGTTTGGGAATAAGAAAAAAAAGAAGGAAGAGAGTAAGGTTGGTACTGCGGAATAAGCGACAGGCAGGTGGGATGTATCCGCTGTTACACTTACACAAGACGACTCACGCGTTCGTTTTCGGCTGTGGGGCAGAGGGGGGTAGGGGGAATGGTTAGTACCTACCTACCCCAAGTGTGTGTTTTCTTTTGCTTTCGGTTTATTCAGGTAGTTTCTTCTTCTTGACCGCTTTCTTGGGTATGGGTTAATCATGGGATTAATGTACAGTATCTTTGTGTTTCCTGACGTTTGGGGGGAGTCAAATGTGTGACCTGTTTTCGTCTTGCAGATTTTTTGGACAGGAAATCTGTAAAAATGGCATGATGGGTAGGTATCGTGATATACTACAGGTGGTGGAGGTTTTATTTCATGGAGGGAGCATTTTTCGGATAGCAGTGCTCCCTGCTTTTTAGGTCAGGCAGTTAGTTCCCCTGTCCTGTTAAGCAAGGTACCTGAGGTAGGTAGCTCAGATTCATTGTGGTTGTATGGTGGCGGTTGTGTGTGTGTGTGTGTGTGGGTGGGGGGGGGGACGACATATGCTTTGCTGTATATGCCATCTGAGGGGAAGTGTTGGAATGTACATGTCGTGGGTGGGTTGGGCAACAGTTTGGCCGAGATGGAAAGTAAGGTAGTTATGGGGGTATAAAGTGAGGCGTTTCTCGTTTCAGGAGTGGCGGTCTGTAAAGAGGTTGGGTCGTACATTTTCTCCTTTTTAGGCATTTCTGAGTGGGAAGATCGTGTGTACTATTACTCTGGTTTGTTGTTGTTTATTGGTCTCCAGAGAAGGGGAGAAGGCTGGGTTGACCAGTTATTTTGGGGGTGGGGGGAGGTGTTGATCAACCTGTTCGTAGGTAGAGCCAGAAATTTGTGTGTATGTGTGTGGGGGGGGGGGGGGATTTAGGTACTGCTAGACACCACATGCCCAAAAGCAAAAGTATTAGAGCGGAAAAGAAGCATCACATAGGCTGGCATAGGGAATTTCATGATCAAACATTAGCCGACACCGTCA